GTTTGCTGATAATGGGAGTACCAACTCCTGCCGCATTCCCTAACAACCCTTCTCGCAGGGGCCCGAATGAAGGGGGGGCAATTACCCCTCGTCTTGATGGGGTCAGTCGAGACCAGCACAACTTGTGCACTCCCCTAAGTCCCCTCAAGCCTCAATGGGGGCCGGTTGAGGCAAACACACAAATTCTCCCTCCAAAGCCTTGATGGGGGCCGATCAAGGCACGCACAGCATTTGGCCTGCACATTGACCCCTGTGGGGGTCCCTAGTCACTGACCAGTGCCCACTTGCTTTATAAGGCAACAGGCAAAGAAGGCACATTGCCAGCAACAGCCTCACAATTTTACATCACTTCATCCCTATAGCTACTGCTGGTAGAAACTGTTTTGAACCATGATCCTGAGAACTCATATCTAACACCTGGGAAGTAGAAATTGGTGTATGGCTAGGGATCCTGGGAAGAAAACTCTAAGAAAGAATAACAAAAATCTACTTTACACACACTAAAATTCAAGGAACTTCAAAGTCTGGGTTTTTAGTGGTGGGTTGGATCGTAAGAAACTGTTAAAGGAAGGAAATCTAGGAAGGCGGGAGGTCTTTGTTCACTATTGATTACCCCAGTTATAAAGAGCTGACAAGTGTTTATCATCTGGTTAATTGTGGCCCCTGAATGACTATGGAAAAAACAAGAATCACTGAGTAGACATGAGCACTAAGATCCTGTGAACTGGGAGAATGAGAATATTATCATAGCTATATGACTTGTCAAGTCTTGAAATAAATCAAAGTCATGAGATGAGGAATATAGCACCTTTAATTGAGATAGCAGGGCAGCAAATCTGCTACTCTGGGGACGTCCAGTGGATTTCCCAACCAAAGAAACCCAAGAAAAAGTTTTTATAGTTTTAGGAGGAGGTAGGGGGAGGAGGTAACATGAGGTAGCAAGGCCTGCCTATGATGAGATCCCAACCACCCTCAGCAGTCCAAATGAGGAGAACCATTTCATTCTGGCTGTTTTTGCCCTTCATGCCATGAATCCCAATGGAAGGGGGCAAGGACATCCTAGGCCTAGATCCAGCATGAGCCGAGTTCCCCCCCAAGGCAAGATCACAGGATGGGACTGAAGGTCTGACTCAGCTTAGCCTAATTGACACTATCTTGCTGTGAATGCTACTGACATTCTGACATTGCTAGGATCATTCAGGGAATGGCAGGTAATATTATATTTGGTATTAACAGTTTCTGTCCTTATATCAACAATTTTCTATCAAAGTGAGTAATGAGTATGAGTCATTGGTGGAGTGTTGTAAAATTAAAGAGCGTCTGGATGCTTCTGTATCTGGGAGTTGGCAGGCCTTATGATGGCCCAGTGGACCAAACACAGCTTTGAATGGGCTGTGATGGGGCTCAGCCACGGCCAGATGTGATATCTGAAAAACACCTGTGGTATCTGTCCCAAATAAGGGAGATCAGCAGTCCATGCAGGAAGCGACTTGGAAGGGTTATTATGAAGTATGAGGATGTCCTCCTCCTAGTCTCAGTGCTTCTCCTCCCTCCCCTACTCGGCTGTATCTTCAGCATCTGCTGAATCTGTAAATATCTTGTACATGGTCAAGGGTTTGCATTTATATATTCTATTACATGGCAGCTAGGTGGCGCCATAGTGCATAGAGCCCTGGGCCTGGAGTCAGCAAGACATCTATTGCTGAGTTCAAATGTGATCTCCCACACTTCCTAGCTGTGTGACCCTGGCCAAGTCACTTCACCCAGTTTGCCTCAGTTTCCTCATCTGTAAAATGAGCTGAAGCAGGAAATGGCAAACCACTCCAGTATCTCTGCCAAAGAGATACTGGTTCACAAAGAGTTGGACACTGCTGAAAAACAATCAAATATTCTATTACAGCTCAGTTGATATTTCATGACTTACAAAACTTTAAGGAATAGCCAGATTATAGGAATGAAGAAACTGTTGTTTAATTGGAAAGTATGTGCATTTCAGACTTTGAAAAATTAACATGTCTGAAGAGACTTCTCTTGGTCTCTATATATTATGTGAAAAATTTGGATCTTAAAGTGGTTTACACAAGTTTCTTGGAGAAAAAAATCGCTCCGTGTATACCCCTTGGAAAATAAGACAATAGTATTTTTCCTTTGTGATAGCAGTTATAACATGACAATAAATGTACTCGATCCTAATACGATTATACAAAAGAACGTAGATGTATTTTACGTTAGCTATTGTTACTAATAATTAAATGATTTCAAATTGACCTTATAATTCTTCCCCATCAAGTAGTAAAAAACTAACTGTTACACTTTTATATATACAGATATAGTATGAAATTTCCATGCAAACTCAATGCAGCAAATAACTGTAGCTACTGACTTCATTTTGTATTTCAAAAGTTATGGGATATCCTGTCATTATATTATAATTAAAATTGTACATGAAATAAAATAATTAAACTGATGTCCTGAGTTTGAAATGGTGTTTAGAAAGATATGTTACTGGGCAAAGTATACGTCATCTTGGAAAGCACTGTGTAGATACCTCCTTGTGAGAAGTGACCCTGGGTTCTCGGAGGAATGAAAACAAGGAAGGATTAGGTGTTAGGGCTATATTGTTCAGACACTCTTTGCCCAAGGTAACAGAGGCTGGGAGTGGAACTATGGCCCAAGACTCCTTGGCCTCAGGGATGGAGTCAAGGCCTTTTAGAAGCCAGTTTCATTCAGAAAGTAACTGAGACCTCAAATGTTTGTGGTTTGGACTGAAATGATCCCAAGGAAAATATGGATTCCAAGGGCTTTACTTCCCAAAAGCTAAGACTGGTTCAGTGACCCAGACCTTAGGTTGTCATTCTGGAGTTTCAGGCCTTTAATGACCTTAATCCTTCACAAACCAAAGGTTGTCATTTTGATCAAGAGCATTTAGGAAGAAATGTTCCCAGGCAAAGTAATAGTAATTCTAAGAGCCCTTGGGCCCAGATAGTTTCTTGGTAGAAGTGATCTTGAATTCTTAAAAGAATAAACCCCGAGGAAAAATGAATGTTCAGCCATTGCTCAGGGAAACAAGTAGTGAGTGAAACAATAACCCTATATGTACCCTGTGTACTTCCAGCTGGAAATGAGGGCTTAGACACCATAGTTTCCAGTTTTTGAAGTGATGAAACAAAAGTACAGGAGTACTCATTGTAGTGAAGAGGGAAAGATGGCTTGGCCTTTAGCCACTTGGATAAAGGAATTTCAGAAGTGGAACATTTGTGGGTGACGATAAGTAAGTTTAAGGGTATAACCATCCCATGTGAAGCAGGGGTAGGTTGAGGTGCTGGGAAGTGAGGGTATTTGGTGGAGTTCCCTTGTGTGAGGGCAGGAGATGGGGTGGTGAGGAAGACTGTCAGCCAGGCACTGAACACATTGAGGGAGGGAGAATATAAAAATTTTAAATAGGAAAGAGAACACAGGAAAATAGTTTTAAAACATTGATTATGACTAAGTGAGATACCCAGGGTTCAACGTTAGGAAAACCATTGCCCTAATGAAGCATTTTGTTGTTGAGTTGTGTCCGCCTTTTTGTGACCCCATTTGGGTTTTTCTTGGTAAAGATACTGGTGTGCTTTGCCATTTCCTTCTCCAGTATGCCTCCATTTTACAGATGAGAAACTAAGGCAAACAGGGCTAAGTGAGTTGCCCAGGGTCACATAGCTAGTAAGAGTCCAAGGCTGGATCTGAATAAAAGAAGATGAGTCTTTTTGACTCCAGGCACAGGGCTCTGTCCCCCAAGTACCACCCAGCTGCCCCTGTGAAACACAAAAAGTATGTAAAACAATGCAGAAAATGCAAACTGCAGGGCTTGGGAACGGGATGGTGTTTCATATCAAAAGTACAGATCAAATCAAGAGCTAGACTTATTTTCAGGCAATCAGCAAGCATTTCTTAAGTACCCACTATGTGTCTGGCACTGTGCTAGGTACTTGGGATACTGACTGAAATGTCACAGCCCTTCTTAAGGAGGGAGACAACATATATGATTAAGTACAGAGTAAAGACAAGGTACTTTGGTGAAGGAAGAAACTGATGACAATAACAATAGCTACCATTTATATTATTTAATCCTCACAGCAACCCTGGGATGTAGGTGCTATGATTATCCCCATCTTTTTTTTTTTTTGGCTAGGCAATGGGGTTAAGTGACTTGCCCAAGGTCACACAGCTAGTAGGTGTTAAGTGGCTGAGGTCGGATTTGAACTCAGGTCCTCCTGAATCCAGGGCCGACGCTCTATCGGCTGCGCCACCTAGCTGTCCCAATTATCCCCATTTTACAGATAAGGAAACTGAAGCTGAGAGATACTGGACTTGCCCAAGGCTGCATTTGAACTCAGGTCTTCCTGACTCCCAAATCCAACACTGTGCACAGTATCACCTAGTAGATGGGGGGGGGCACATGTTCAGAAAGATTTCATGTAATTTAAAATGTGGAGCTCAGTCTTGATAGACTGTATTCAATGAAATAGCCAAGGAGGGAATGTATTTGAAGCATGGGCATGAGATAGGAAATGGAGTACCCGGAGCAGGTCCTTGCCTCCCTCCAGGCCTCACTTTCCCCATCTGTAATACCCGGGCTTGGACTAGCTGCATGTTCCCTAAGGTACCGCCCAGCTGCAACACTCCACAAACCTTTGAAATGTAGGCTTCATTCATTGGATACAACAGCATCAAATAGGATGCTGGGAAATGCCCCCATGGGGGGGGGGCGAGTGCAGCAGGTGCCAGGGAGTTCGCGGGCCTCAGAGGCCATCAGGGCCAACCTCCTCATTTCACAGAGGAGCACGCTGAGGGCCAAGGAGGGTAAGGGATTTGCTCAAACGAGATCATCCGTATAAAGTGCTTTCTAAAGTTGAAAGAGCCATAAAACTGGTAACTAATATTACCAGTAAGTTTCTTCTCCGTTCTGCGCCCGTTTACCCCTCTACTGAAAGAAGACGTAGAGGCCAATGGGATCCGACGTTCCTGGTCTGAGCGCTGACGTCTAGAAGAGGGTAAACCAAGTCGGCCGCCGCCCCTCCCCTGTTCCGCCCCTCGCCCCGCCCCCTCCCGCCAAAGGCTGCCCGCCTCAGAGTGCGCCTGCGCCCGCGCCTGCGCTCGGCAGCCAACGGGGCTCTCTTCCTCGAAGGGTAGACTCCGCCCCGCCCCGCTCCGCCCAGCAATCTGCGCGAGGCGGGCGGAGAAAGCGCGCCGGGAGACATGCGGCTGGTGAGCTGGAACATAAATGGGATCCGGCGATCGCCTGAGGACCTGCGGCGCCTGCTCGACTCCCTGGGGGCCGATGTGACCTGCCTGCAGGAGACCCGAGTCACTCGTGAGAATCGAGGCGTGCCCCTCCTCCCAACCCGACACCCCCCCGCCCCCAGGAGACCGTCGCCCCCCGCCGCCCAGGACAGGACCTCTCCCTTCTAGTCCTCCCCCTGCCCCCAAAGATCACGTTCTCCCCCAAAACAGCCTTACCCCCAGGACTACCCTGCCCCCTAAAGGGACACCCTCCCCCCCACACACTCTTTTAGCACTGCCCCCAGGGCCGCCTCCTCCCAAAAAATCATCCTCTCCCTCCCCTAGTTCTGACCCCCCCTTAGAGGATCCATCCCCCTAATCCCCTCTGACCCTACCTCCAAGAGACACCCTCTTCTACCCAGTTCTTCCCGTCCCCAACGATCACCTCCCCAAAGCACCACACTGATACCCCCCCTCCCAAGTTATCCCCACCAGACTCCAGCTGACCCAGTAGCTCTCCCGTAGAGCCCCCTCCCAGGATTATCTCCACTTCCCTCTCTTCCCCCACTCCCCCAGTGCTGACACTATTCTACAAGATGCCCCCAACTCCTTAAAATGCTTCGGGGCTGCCTCTGTGGGTTTGGCTTAGGGGCCAGGCAGTTCCTCTGGCCACCCTGCAGGGAGCAGGGCTGTGGCTCCAGAGCCCTGCCCACGGTGGCGGATCTCCCCCAACCTGGTCATTTCTTCTCTGGCCCCCAGGGGACCTGCTGGAAGAGCCCCTGGCCATAGTGGACGGATACAGCTCCTATTTTAGCTTCAGCCGAGTTCGCAGTGGCTACTCAGGTGTGTGGGATCTGGCGTGTTGGGCAGGCTTTTTGGAGCCTTGGTTTTCCACTATAAATGGGTTTAACAAGACTTGTACCACGTGCTGCCTATCCAGAGTTTTTATCAGCACGAAACAACAGCTGTGGTCATAATTATGGCTACTATTATTAGAACGTTTACATTTTGGGGCAGCTAGGTGGCGCAGTGGATAGAGCAACGGCCCTAAAGTCAGGAGGACCAGAGTTCAAATCCAGCCTCAGACCAAACACTTGACACTAGCTGTGTGACCCTGGGCAAGTCACTTAACCCCAATTGTCTTAAAAAAAATTAAACATTAGAGGGAAACAAAATGTCAGTTGGGGGAATAACTAAAAATCTATGTTGACTTTTTTTCTGCTCTGAATGATATATGTGACTCTGAATAAGTCGCTTCTTTTCAGGTTGACATTTTCCCTCTGAAAAATGAGGAACTTTGGGCTGAATTTTTTCTAAGGTCTATTTCCATTTTCGACATTTTGTGACCCAAATCCCGTCCCCTTTCTGGGGCTCACTTTCCCTGTCTGTAGAATTAGATATTGTTTAAGCTCCTTTCCACTCCTTACAAGCTGTGACACTAAGGCCCTTTCTTGAAATGAAGGGGGTGAAACTAGATGAGTTTTAAGGCCCGTTTCACCTCCAGATCCTATGAATCTCTGAAGGCCCTTGGTTAGAGTAGCAATAGGACAGTATATCCTATATAATTCAGTTTCCTCCTTGCAACATCTCAATTGGTATGCTTAGACTATAATCACTAGCTCTTTACAAATATTTTCTCTTTTGATCCTCACAACAACCTTGGGAAGTAGGTACTATTATTATCCCCACTCTACAGATAGGGAAACTGAGGCACAGCAGTTCAGTGAGTTGTTCAGGGTCACACAGCTAGTAAGCCTCTAAGGCCAGATTTGAACTCAGGTCTTCCTTAGTTGAAGTCCAGGCCTCTGTCTACTTCCCCACCTTGCTGACCTGGGTTTGCCTCCCAGCTCCACTGCCTGCTGATTACATCATTTTAGAGAAGCTTCTTCCCTTCTCTGGACCTGAGTTTCCCCTGTTATAAATGAAAGGGTTGGGTTATCAGAGGTGGGGAACCTTCAGCCTTGAAGCCACATGGGGCTCTTTAGGTCCTCAAGTGTGGTCCTTTGACTGTGGCCTCCAGACTGAAGGTTCCCCACCCCTGGATTAGATGGTTGCTATGGACTTTTCCATCTCTCCATCCTAGGGTTCTCAAACTTTTTGGACTCAGGACCCCTTTAGACTCTTTTTAAGGACCTCTCCTAAAGAGCTTCTGAGTCCTGGTTCTGTAACTAGGTTTACTGTCATGACACCTTGGACAAGTCCTTTCCCTTCTCTAGCCGGGAATTTCCCATTCCATAAAATAAAGGGGTTGACCTACAACAATGTAAATGGAAGGATCAACAAAACAATAAAATCTGAGAAATCATAATGACTGAACTTAGCCCCAAGAAAAAACATCTCCCTCCCCTCCTCCCTGCCTCCCCCCTCCCTCTCTCCCTCCCCCCCTCCCCCCCCCCCAGGGTGTGGATGCAGAAGGCGATGAGGCCTTGGAAGACTTTTTCCAGTTGTGCTTCGTTTTGCCTCCTCACCTCTTCCTCTTAAAATCCCGGGCTTCCCTCAAGACTCAGTTCAAATGCTGCTTTCTAGAGGAAGCCTTTCCTGATATCCCTGGATGCTAGGGAAAGGAACAAGCATTTATTAAGCATGTACTGTATACCAGGCACTGTACTAAGGGCTTTACAAATATTATGTACTTTGCTTCTCACAAGTACCCTGGGAGGGAGGGGCTATTATTTTCCCCATTTTACAGATGAATAAACTGAGGCAAACAGGTGAAGTGACTTGCCCAGGGTCACACAGCTAGTGTCTGGGGACAGGATTTGAACTCAGATCTTCCTGACTTCAGTCCTATTTAACCGCTGCTACACCTAGTTGTCTCTCTCTAAAGATACTTTCTCCATACTCTGTATTTTGTGTGTTATTATTCACATCAAGTCTCCCCCGCTGGAATGTAAGTTTCTTGAGGACGGGGACTATTTCTACCTTTCTCCCCAGCACTGAGCACACTATAGGATGAACAGTAAGTACTTAATCTTGGTTGATTGATTACCTGCCTCTCCTGTCTTCTCCCTGAGCCCTCCTGCTCATGGACAGGTCCCTTCCCTTTTCTGTGTGACAGACAGTGCCTCCCCCCACTCCAGAAACCCAAAGCAATGAGCCTGGAGCTGATAGCTTCTTCCAAGCTCGGGAAGGTGGGGTCCCTTAATCTCTTTTATCATTCTGTGACTCATTGTCTCTGTGCCTGCCTGTCTCCGCCCCCCCCCCAGGTGTGGCCACCTTCTGTAAAAACAATGCCACTCCAGGGGCAGCGGAAGAAGGCTTGACCAGCCTACTAACCAATCACCAGGGCGCTGTGGGCTCCTACGGGAACACAGAGGAGTTCACTGAAGATGAGTTGCGGGCTCTGGACAGCGAAGGCCGGGCAGTCCTCACTCAGCACCAGATACGGTAAATGTTGGCGCTTTTCTTTTTTTCTTTTTGCTAGGCAGTGGGGTTGAGTGACTTGCCCAGGGTCACACAGCTAGTAAGTCTTATGTGTCTGAGGTCAAATTTGAACTCAGGTCCTCCTGAATCCAGGGCTGGTGCTCCTTGGCACTTTCTGACCTGCAGCCAAGGCCTCTTCTACTTATACCTCCCTTAGTGGCATTGGGGTCAGTACTAAATAGCTGCTACCTCCTGAATTAAATGGGCTGGTGTGGGGGGAAGGGAATTGAAACATTTGATAACTGTCCCTGATAAATAAAAAGCCATATTCCAAATTCCATGCCTTTGATGTATCTGTGCTCTCAGCAGTATGGGCCTTGCCTTCACCTCTGCAGATTGTGGCCCATCCTGGACCACTTTTATCCATGATCTTCTCCCATTTCTGCATAGGAGGTCCACCCAGTGTGCTAGAGGCCTTCCAGCAGATAGAGTGTAGAGAAGCCAGGGGAGCATTCTGGCTTGCCATGGGGTACTGCTCTTTCCTTGGCATACATCACTTCTCCTGCGCAATTCTGGGCTGGGATTTTAAAAATATTATTTTCTTTACATTCAAAGGAAATTTTAAAATTTTTTCACTGATGTCTTTTGTTTTTCCATCACAGTAATTTCTTTTTTTCCCTCCAAAATTTATTATTTATTTATTTTTAGCTTCATTTTCTTTTAAATTTTGAGTTCGAATTCTTTCCCTCCCACTCCTCTCCCCCAGTCATTGAGAAGGCAGAAAATGTGATATCAGTTACATGTGTGAAATCATGCAAAACATTTCCATATTAGTCATATTGAAAAAAAGTAAGAAAAATAAAGAAAGTGCTTATGCTTCAGTGTTCACTCTGCACTCAGATTGGGAATAGCTAATTCCGGGGCAGCTAGGTGGCGCAGTGGATAGAGCACCAGCCCTGAAGTTAGGCAGGACCTGAGTTCAAATGCAGCCTCAGATCAAACACTTGACACTTACTAGCTTTGTGACCCTGGGCAAGTCACTTAACCCCAGCTGCCTAAGGGGGGGAAAAATTAGAGAATAGCCAATTCATTCACAGTTGATCATACAGTATTGCTGTTACTATATACAGTACCCTTGTGGTTCTACTCATTTCATTTTGCATCAGTTTGTGTAAGTCTTTCCAGGTTTTTCCAAGAGCATCCTGCTTGTCATTTACTATATTTGTTATAACATTTATTATAACACAATCGTATTCCATCACAGTCACAGACCACAGCTTGTTTAGTCATTCATCCCTTCAATTTCCAGTTTTTTGCCAGCACAAAAAGAGCTGCTAGAAATATTTTTGTATATATTGGTCCTTTTCCCTTTTTCTTTGATCTCTTTGGGATACAGACCTACTAGTGGTATTGATGGGTCAAAGGGTATGCATAGTTTTATAACCCTTTGGGCATAGTTCCAGGATGGCTGGATCAATTTATAAACTCTGCCAAGAGTGCATTAGTGTCCCAATTTTTCCACATCCCCTCCAGCATTTATCATTTTCCTTATCTGTCATGTTAGCCAGCCTCATAGGTGTGAGGTGGTACCTCAGAGCTGCTTTAATTTGCATTTCTCTAATCAATAAGGATTTAGAGTAGGTAGTTTTGATTTCTTCTTTTTTTCTTTTAGAGAAATGCTAAACTTACATAAGAAAAGAAAAAGAAACATGTGAACTTAAATATAAAATAAGAAAAAACAAAAATGTCATGTGCACAGCAGAACATAGGAGAGGATTCACATTATGTAGCAATAACTTTTCCTTTCAAGAAAGCCTGTATATTAAATACTGCCTGTTATGTTGAACGCTGTCCAGCTTTTCTTTGCTTCCTTGTAGGTTTTCTTTTGTTCTCTGCTGTTTACTTTTTACTTTGTCCTTTTTTCCTCCTCCTTCCCCCCCATCTACCACCCCAAGGCTACAGTTGAGCATTGGATATATTTATATATAGGTATCTATATATACATACACTTATATATATATATATATATATACACACACACACACACACACACACACATACATACATATACATATACTTTCCCTAAAAGATTCTACTCCTTATCTTTGTTTTTGTTTGTGCATATCTCTTTATTTTTCCTATCTCTCCTAACTCCTCTACTTTACTTTTACCTTACTCTACTGTTACTTAACCTACCCCAACTCCAGCAATCCCTCCCTTATCCTCCCATTCCCCTAAATCTAAACTAAACCCTTCTATTTCCTCCTTTTAACCCATTCCCACACCTTCCTGTGTAAAAATCCCTCCTTTATCCTCTCCCCTCTCCCTATCCCCTTAGAGTTTTATTTCTTTCTAAATTTAGAAGACTTTTAAATTCTTCTAAATGTATATATATTTTCCCCTCTTAAACCCATTCCCCATGAGAATAGGTTTCCAGAACTAACAGCCCCCCTCCCCCATCTAATTCCTCTATATTGGTTCTTCTTACATCTCATTTATAAAAGGCAATTACTCTTTTAGCTGTACTTGAATAGTTTTACTTTTTGGAGTCATATGCTCAGGTCTACCCCAGTCTTCCTTATAAGTTACCTAATTACTAGTAACAATCTTAGCCATAGGTTTTACATTTTTCGTACATAAAAGGTAAACATTCTATACTTATTTAATCCCTTGTAATTGGTCATTGGTATGTACCTTCTATTTCTCTTGGCTCTCATGTATTAAATCTTCTATTGACTTCAAGATTTGTTTTTTTAACAGAGGCCTGAAAGTCCAACAATTGATCAAATGTCCATTTATTTTTTCATTCAGAATTATGCTTAGCTTTGCTGGGTATGCTTAGCTTTGTTCTTTGATATACAGTGTTCTAGGACCTGCGATCTTTTAGTGTGATTCTAATTGTGGTACCACTGTATGGAAATTACTTTTTTCATGTTGCTCGGAATATTTTGTCCTTGATCTGGGGGTCTTGAAATTTGACTATGATATTCCTGTGAGTTTTCCTCATAGGATCCCTTTCAGGTGGTGATTGGGGGATTTTTTCTTTTTCTATTTTCCCCTCTTGTTCTAAGGCTTCAGGATAATTTTCTTTAATTATTTCTTGTATTATTGCATCAAGATTCTTTTTTTGATCAGAACTTTCAGGTAGTCCAATTATCATGTTTTCTCTTTTTGATCTGTTCTCTAGATCTATTTTTTTTATGAGATGTTTCATATTCTCTTCTATTTTTTTATTCTTTTTTTTTTAATTTCTTTATCTCTTAAAACTTTTCTGGCTTCCCCTTGCCCAACTGTGATTTTCAAGGAGTCATTTTCTTCCTTAAGATTCTGATCTCCTTTTCTAATTAGTTGACTTTCTTTTATAATCTTGTTTTTCTTGTATTATTCTTATTTTTCTTTTTAGTTTTTCCTCAGTCTCTCATTTGATTTTTAAAGTCTTTTTTAAGTTCTTCAATGAGTTCTTTTTGGAGAGGTGACCATTTGATATTACTCTTTGGGGTAGAAGAGGGTTTCTTTGCTTCAGTATCTTCTGGAGACACACCCCGATTTTCTCTATTCCCATAGTAGTTCTCTATGGCTGGATTCTTTCTCCTTTGTCTGTTCATTTTTTGAGTAATAATTTCATTTTTATAATCACCTCTAGTCCTGGGGTATAAGGGATGGTGCCTCTAATCCTTTTCAGTTCACCCTTCTGACCTTGAACTCAAACCAAGAGCTCCAGCTTCCTGTAAGTGCCCACAGCAGAGACGTCCCCCACCCCACTGCTTCTGCACTCGCCAGGCTTGTGCTGGTTCCTTCTTGCCCGCACCTCACCTCCACAGCACCACTGGTTCTGGCATTCCTTGTCAGCAGAGGTCCCATTGATCTTCCCCGGGTCAGACACCCACCTCCCCTCACTGTCCTGAGGGTAAAAGTTCCTGTGGCTGGGGCAGAGGCAGCCTCCCAGCTCAGCTAACCCCAGGGCTTGCTGCTTGCTGTTGAAGCTGACCCAAGCCTGGGGGTGTTTACTCTTTACAGGGAGGAAATCTGGTCCACGATTTTTCTTCATATCTTCTCCTATTGTCCCAGGAGGACCCTTCTTCTGCCCCTCCTCTTACTTGTTTTCACAGCTCTAAGTTCGCCCAGAGGTACTATTTTATCTCTTTTGTGGAGGAAAATCTTGACAGCTTCAAACTTTCTGACCTACTCTGCCATCTTCCTAGAATCCTCTCCAATTCCTTCTTTTGAAAACTGCCTGTTCATGTCATTTGACAATTTACCAGTTGGGGAATGACTCATATTTTTATAAATTGGACTCCCTTCTCTATATATTTGAGAAATGAAGCCTTTATCAGAGAAACTTGCTGTAAAAAATTTTTTCCCAGTTTCCTGCTTTCCTTCTAATCTTGGCTGTATTGATTTTGTTTGTGCAAACCCTTTTTAATTTAATGTAATCAAAACTATCTCTTTTACATCCCAAAATACTCTCTGTCTCTTGTTTGGTCATAAATTTTTCCCTTATCCATAGATCTGACAGGTAAATTTTTCCATGCTCTCCTAATTTGCTTATCACTCTTTATGTCTAAATCATGTAGCCATTTTGACCTTATCTTGGTATACAGTGTGAGATGTTGGTACGTGCTTTCTTTCCGCCAAACTGCTTTCCAGTTTTCACAGCAGTTTTTCAAATAGTGAGTTCTCGTCCCAAAAGCTTAAGTCTTTGGGTTTATCAAAGAGTAGATGACTATGGTCATTTGCTGCTACATCACAGTAATTTCTTGTTGTTTCCTCCCCCTCTACCAACACCCCCCCCCCGTCAAATTATGCTCCTTAACAAATAAAAATAGTTGAAGCACAATAATAGAGTGACTATGTGACACGTGCCCCCACCTCTCTGCCAAGTTTCATTATCTGCTTTCGGGAACCAAGATGGTTCTTATAATCACTCAGTCTGATTTCCCTCTAGCAAGCTTCTCATTTCTATTATTGTCATTACATATATGTGTGTGTGTGTGTGTGTATCTCAATCAATGATTGTGTATATC